TTATTGAAAATACCATGGCTTGGGTCAGGCGCACCTTAGTCCTCAAGCTGCCATCTTTGCTCTTGAACACTTTAAAAAGGTCTTGTGCAGCATATTTGCCTAATGCAATACGTCATTTGATTTCTTGGCTGCTGCTTCCGTGAGTGTTGATAGTTGATCCAAGTAGTCCAGTGCTTATCCTAAAGCACCACACATGAGGAGTCCTACATGAAAAGACAAGAAACTACACATATGATAATCTATTAAGAAAAAGAAAAGTCATAGAAGGAAAAATGAAGTAAAATGTTCTATGACGTCAATAGTAGTTATTACTGGGTGGTACTGGTGTGGCACTGTGGGTTAACGCGCTGGACTGCAAAGTTGGTTTGAACCACAAGGTCGGCAGTTGAAGCTCACCAGCTGCTCCTCGAAAACCCTAAACAGGGTCCCTATGGGTTGGAACAGAGTTGACGGTACTTAACAACCAAGGTGATAAAGGTATGTCTCTCATACTTCAGACATATTCTCAGGAGGACCCAGTCTCTGAGTAAGGACATCATGCTTAGTAAATTGGAGGGTCAGTGAACAAAAGGAAGGCCCTCAATGAGATGGATTGGCACAGGGGCAGCTGCAGTGGACTGGAGTGTAACGACAACTGTGAGGAAGGCCCAGGACTGAGCGGTGTTTTGTTCTGTTGTGTATAATTATGGTTGCACCTAATACCAGGCACCTAATACCAATAACGAAGGTACGTAATAGTTTCTTTTTTTTGCTCAGGAAGCGCTGCTGATGTTGTGGCAGAGAACAGTGAGACTGTGTGCTCCCGTGAAGGTTTAGTCTCAGAAGCCCTGAGGAGTCGGAAGCGACTTGAGGGCACTGGGTTTGGATTGGGCTGGGTTTCTTTTGCACTCTCCCCCTTAGCTAGCACATAATCATTGGGGGTGCTGTACAACAGACAGGTGTCAGCTTGTGGAAGACACTTCTCTCCAGCCAAAGCATCACACTGCTCTCGTGGCTCATGCCAGGTGGTGTTTTTGTTGTTAAATGCTGTGGAGTCAGTTCTGACCCATAGTAACCCTGTGTAGGGTTTCCAAGGTGCGGGGTGAGCTTGAACCACCGACCTTGTGGTTCAAACCAACCTTGTAGTCCAGCACATTAACCAACAGCACCACACCAGACTCCAGGTGTTAGGAGCATGAAAAGTGTATAGCTCACATTCCCACAAAACACTAGCCCACTTCTCTCCCAGTGCCATGGCACGTTGGCACACTTGCCACACAGCAGGGCAGCAGTGGTGCTAGTCCGCTGACCCCTAAAGCACTGCAGAGGCTGGGCAGGTGAGCAGAAATCACTGAACTTTCAGCAGGTGCCGCGCTGACTTCAGAACTCTGCCCTCAACCTTTTATGGACGACAGTCCTGAGACTGGGTCACAGGAAGGGACTTTTGTCTTCTTTCTTGTAAATTGGGTGGAAGTTTACATAGCACTCTGATTTTCCATTCAGTGATTCACGCACATGGATTCATGCGTTACATTGATTGCAGTCCCCACAGCCTAAGAGCAGTCTCCCAGTCCCTTTTGCATTTACCATTTCCATCCACTCTTTCCTGTCCATTCCTTCCTTCAGTCTTCTCTCCGTGCATCATGATGTTAACTGTTGATCTGCTTGTGAGAGTTTCTCTTTTCCTTACATTGAGGTGCAATCCATACTGAAGGCTGCAGTCTTTGACCTTCGTCAGTAAGGAGTCCTTTTCGCTTCAAGCAATCAGGGGTGTGTGATATGAGCCTTCCTCTAGTCCTGGTACTGCATTCTTCACATAATCCAGCTTCTCAGATTATACACACTGAATACACGGTGGAAGGAAGGATACAGTCCTTACCTGATTGTGATTCCTTCAGTATCCCCTTATTCTGTTGTAATGATTACGTCTTGGTCTCTGTACAGGTTTTTCATGAACACAATGAAGTGTTCCAGAATTTCCATTCTTCACAATATTGTTCATAGTTTTTCATGATCTACACAATCAAATACTTTCAATCCGTAAAGCACAAATTACATTGTTCTGGTATTCTCTGCTTTCACCCAAGATCCATCTGACATAAGTAATGATCTCCCTTATTCTACATTCACTTCTGAATCCTGCTTACCTCCCTGCCAGTGCACGATGCAACCACTTTTTAATTAACCAGCAAAATTTTACCTTCATGTGATATTAATGATATTGTTCAATGATTTCCACAATTCTGTTGAGTTGCTGTTCTTTGGAATGGGCACAGATAAGAATCTCTTCCAATCAGTTGGCGAGGTAGTTGTCTTCCAGATTTCTTAACATAGATGAGTGAGCGCCTCCAGTGCTGCCTCTGTTGAAAGATTTCAATTTGTCTTCTGTCAATTCCTGGAACCTTGCTTTTTGCCAATGCCTTCAATGCACCTTGGATTTCTTCCTTCAGTACCTTTGGTTCTTGATCATCTAGTACCTCTTGAAATGGTTGAGCATTAGCCACTTCTTTTGTTTGTTTTTATTGTGAATTATGTGTTAGTTTACATGGGTGAACATTATCTTTACATTCATCCTATCATACTTTGTTTCA